AGAGAATGTTCTCCCTTAAGCTGGTCTGTGAAATGAATGAAACTGGGGCTTGTACAAAATGTCGGATCAAGTAAATAATGGTGTGTGCAGAGGGAAACGTGTTAGGACTGCAGAGATGACATGAGTTCTGGAAATTCCTAATTCTAGTGGGCTTGATGTCCCAGCCTTCCATTTTGTATTGTTTTAACATAATAGTGAGAAGAAACATGAGGTCTCACCTGAGCCATGAGGCTTCTGGCCAGCACTTTATTTCCATCCTTCATCATCATATTGGTGAATTTACTGTAAACACAAAGCCAGATGTGATCTGACTTAAGTTCTGATTTTATCACCCACAGAAGTAATCCCCGCCCCTTGTGTTGTTCCCATGGTTAAGTCTGGGTGCTACTAGATCTGCTGTAATTATCTCTAATCACTGACAGTCAATGGACTGGCATTGTGGGAAAAGATTAACCTGAATAAAGGGATTGTGCTGTAACAGAAGGCAACGGGCAGCACAGCAAGTGAAGGCTGAGGACAGCACAGCTCCCAAGCATTTTGGCTCCACGGGACCTAGCTGTAACACAGAAAGAGATGACGCTTTCTCTGACCTGATCATAGGGTCACTGAATACAGAGCTGGAGAGAGTGGGAGGAGCAGCTTTTATGGGTTGAACAGCCTTAAGCTCCATTTTTTCCTTTTCCTCCTCAGACAGCTCCTCCCAAGGTTTCTGATACACTTCCTTGTTCACTTCTGGCTCTAAGAAGCTGGGGCTGTAGCGACTCCATCTCACCTGCGTCAGCCTGCAAAGAACAAGAGAAGGAGGGCTGTAAACCGATGCACGTGACATGTCGTGACGGGGATGTGGACAGATGCGAACGCATCTCAGGGCACGTTAGACTTGAGCTGGACCTCCGCCTTCCTCATCATCGCTGCTTCTCTCGCTGCAGCAGAGCCAGAGGCACTTTATCAGCAAGGCCCACGGTTTTGCTGCAAAACTCTCAGGCCACCCCCACGCCAAGGAGAGGGGCCTGGTCGAGGGGGAGTCCCAGCACTGAGCTCACCCTCCTGCCAGACCCTGCCTGCGCCCACAGACGAGCCTCCCCAGGGCCGAACGGCCCCCAGGCCTGATGCCGTCAGGTCCCAGGTTCTGCGTGGCTTGAATAAACGCTGTTCTGTGCTCGTGGGAGTGGACGAGTGCCTTAAACCGGAATTTTACTCATTTTTCGCAGCAGGAGGCGTCGTTTTGGTGTGTTTTGGGGAGGTGCAAGGGGGGTACCGAGACCCCCGCGCCCCTCCGCCGCAGCGGGGCAGCACACGCAGAGGCCGGGCCCCCCCAC